GTTGCCATACTGCTGGGACACTGGCGATACCAAATACCAGTCTGTTGTACTGATATAGGCCTTTGTGAGTGTTTATCTCCAGATATTTCCTGGATGTCTCTTCTACTTCCAACTGGAGATAAGCCTGGGCAAGGTCAATTTTTGAAAAGTGTTTGCCACCTGCGACTGCTGTGTATATGACTTCTAGCCGTGGAAGTGGGTACTGATCTACACGGAGAACTGGGTTCACTGAAACCTTAAAATCACCACAGATCTGCACTCTGTCACTTGCTTTCTTGCTTACTGACGCTATTGGTGTGGCCCAATCTGACCATTCCACCTTGGTGAGTATTCCTTCCTCTTCCAAGCGTTGGAGCTCTGCTTCGACTTTGGGGCGTAAAGTATAAGGTACAGGACATGACTTGTGTAATCTTGGTTTTGCATTGTCCTCCAGTATGATCTGTGCTTTAATATTTTTCAGGGTGTTGATTCCATCTTTGATCACCTGGGCATGGTTATTAAGTATCTGTTTCAGTCTTTCATCCACAGAATGTGCACTCAGGCCTCGTTCCAGTCTCATTGACTTTATTTCTTTCCAGTTGAGGTGGATGTGTTTCAACCAGTCACGCCCAAATAATGGCACACCTCCATTTTTTCAGAACATAAAGTTCCAGGTCTTTCTTCATGCAGCTTTCCTTCTCTTTTCCACATTTAGTTTTTCTTTTAGGCTGCGCAACAAGTTGTATGTTTTCGCTCCCATCACACTCAGTAACACAGCAACTTTCCTCTCATCCTCTATTTTGTTAGCCAGAAAATATTGTTCAGCTCTCTCCACATATGTTGTTCAATCCTCTGTGCCATTATCAAAAACGTCCATTTGTCCAACGCCACCTGACATTTTCTCAGTATTTCATAAGTATCCTTAACTTAATAGAACTGATGTTACTCACGAACTCTCTGCAGCGCACTAGCCAGGCGAGTGAGTTAGCATCCACACGGATGATTAGTTGTTTTTGCCGTAACCTTTTCCGTGTCTTTTGGCCACTTTCACAAGGATTTCTCCCTCCTGTCGTCCAGTGCACATCGGAGATCCGTTTTAATCCTCGTCACCAGTTTGTTATGTTCTCTCTTATAACTTAACTGGTAAAGTAACAACACCTGTTTGGTTGTTAGTAACTTACTTTATTAACCATGTTGTGGAAAGGCACAGGCATATCAATGCGCACAAACACCACACTTTACACAGAAAGTAGTACCACAAAAATATAAACTGATTTTACTAAATACATAACAGTTTATTTATAAGGAGGTCAAAGTCAACAGCTTTCAGGCCATTTTTAGTGTATTGGATCAAATGTTTCTTTTTCATGTAGTGAGGTTTATTTCTCCAGATAAAATTAAAGTTTATTTGATTAATAGCTCTTGTTCATTTATCTGGAATGACATTAGTGTGCGTTGGATTGATACATCTTGGTAAACTTTCCATTTCTGTTATATAAATTCTCCCTAAATTGATAAATTGCTCTAAAGCTGTCATGTTGTGATGTGTGCAGGCAGGCAGAAGTGGTGGATCCAAAATGCAGGACTCTTGGAGACGGAATTAAAACTGAAAACGCAGCTTTATTGCTGGACAAACTCTTCATAAAATAAAACTCACAAAAAGCAATGCAAAAACAAGACGCTGAGGACCAGACATAACAAACACAGCAAGTTGAGGGACGACACGACAGAGAGCACAGGAAAACACAGGGCCTATATACACAGGGAAGTAATCAGGGAAAGAAACAGGAGGGAGACACAGCTGGGAGGGTTTGGGCTAAAGACACGGGGAGCAAAGCTAGACACACTGACATGACACAACGCTTCACAATAAAACAGGAAACAAGAAACAGACGCAAACTTGACACTGAACCTATACTAAACACGAGACACAACCTAAGAAGTAATCCCTCACTAAGAATAACAGAAACATAGAATACCAATAAACCAAGCATAACAAAAGCATCGGGATACAAACCATAATACAATGTGAGCAGGGCAGACGGAACAATTGACGGAAAAAGTGTGGACTTTATATCAGTTTTTAAATTGTGTTGATGGGCCACGTAAAACCAGAGTTATGATAAAAATATCTGCAATGTTTGGTTTTCTTCCTGAATACTATCGTTGTTTATATTTACTGCGGGAAACGGTAAAAACGGCATTTTATAGGGAAACACTCGCTCGAAAACACTCTCCGCCTGTGAGCAAAAACAAAACCACAAGTCCCCACCCTTTCCTATTGGTGGAAAAATGTACCATGTCGACCAATCAAAACATGGCATTAGTTGTTGAGGGAGGGAGTAAATTTTAGGAGTGAAAAACAATGAGGTGCGTCAGAACAATGAGGCGACTGCTGAATGTTACAGGTGTTACAGCAGTGATACATCTCCTGTTGTCAGGCCTGCAGGTATCAGGCTGTTGTTCTCCTTTATCTCATAGTGGACAGAAATTCCTTTTTTGCAGTGGCACAAATAATTTGTGTGGCATCAAATTTGATGCAGAACAGTTGATTGTTAAATTGAGTTAGGGCACTAGAAATCGGGCCACCGTCTGGGACGGATACTGGTTAATTGATCGCAAAAAAGTTGGACTTTATCCGCTGGGCAGTTAATATTAAATTTGTCAAAATTGTGTAGGTGCTAAGCTGTCAGGCCTGAGTGTGCTTGTGGTTCCTGGTCCTAAATCTAGTCGTCCAAAAGTTCTAAACGACTTCAGGCCTGCTGCCCTCACCTCAGTCTTTGAAAAAAATCATCAGAAATGTGATTATGGAAGACACTGAACTTCAGCTTGATTCAATGCAGATTGCACATAAGCCCAATAGAGGAGTGGAGGACGCGCTTTTGATTCTACTTCACCTGATTGTCAAACATTTAGAGAGTAAAGGACTTCAGTTCATCGATTTCTCTGCTTCTTTCAATAACACAGCCCCAGATTTGAATCAAAAGACTTTTAGAACAGTTTGAAATCCGGACAAACCTGAGCAAGTGCAGTCATATAAATATCTTGGGGCCATTGAGTCTGTTTTATCATGAGAATGATGCAGGACAAAGTCTTATAAAAGCAGCTTTGTCCCTGCTGCCGTCACTAAACTAAATAACTAATAACTGTTTTCCTGATTTGATTCATCGCGTGTAATTTCCAAATATGTGTCTGTCAGGTTTAAATCGATGTGTGTGTTTGTGAAGGGATGACAAATGCTATTATTTTTCTGTAAAGCAAATTTACCTAAAAGTAAAGTAACCTTGATATGTCAGGATGTAGATGTCCCACCCAAAAATGTCATCCAGCCCTGAAACATCGGTACTGTTCAAGGCAGCATTGCTGTCCACACGTCCATCAGAGTGTTAGAGGTGGCTGTCACGGATGCTGCAGTCTGCTCTCTGTTTCCATGAAACAACCACACTTGAAATGATCATTAAAGCTACCTGTACTAAAGGAAGCTGAGAACATGGCAGACGTGGGACTGACTATGGCTGTGTCCCAATTCAGGGTCTGCACGCTTGAAGTATGCGCACTACGCGTACTACGTACGGTGCGTACTATAAGTACGAGAAGTGCGGAAGTGAGAGGCTTGTGAAATGGGACGGTATACGCTTCGTCGCGCTGTTCAGGTTGCCTAACAACCATGATACTAACTGCGAGACACGTTACATACAGCTTTGTTTGACAGAAATGAAGGAGAAAAATGTTTTGTTGGTCATTCATTTTTGTCATGACATCACTTTGATTAGTTGAGTATCTGAGGCTGAGACCACAGGACTGTAAAACATGATTGTTGGGCTTCATTTCTGTGCTGAACAGTCATTTAAGATTAGTTAGTAAATAACAATCAGCTAATGTTGTTCATGAGACTAAAGTCATCTCACTGTGGTAATGTAAATATAATATGGCCAATATTATAGTATTGTCAGATTATTATGATATATATATATATATATATATATATATATATATATATCCAGTCCAGTCTGAACGACATTCCAATGTCGTTCGGACTGGAGAAGTGTAGTCGGATGGTAACAAAGAGAGGGAAGGTAGTCAGAACTGAGGGGATTGAACTACCAGAAGGCAACATTGCAGACATAGAGGACAGTTACAAGTACCTGGGGATCCTGCAGGCAAATGGGAACCATGAAGAGGCCGCTAGAAAAGCTGCAACTACCAAGTACCTGCAGAGGGTCAGGCAAGTCCTGAGGAGTCAGCTGAATGGTAAGAACAAGATCCGGGCCATCAACACGTATGCCCTGCCCGTGATCAGGTACCCTGCTGGGGTAATAGGCTGGCCAAGGGAGGAGATAGAAGCCACTGACATAAAGACAAGAAAGCTCCTTACCATGCATGGAGGGTTTCACCCCAAGTCCAGCACCCTGAGGCTGTACGCTAAGCGGAAGGAAGGGGGCCGGGGACTGGTGAGTGTCAGCACCACAGTCCAGGATGAGACAACAAACATCCAAGAATACATTGGGAAGATGGCCCCAACTGACCGAGTGCTCAGTGAATACCTCAGGCAGCAGAAACCCAAGAAAGAGGAGGGAGACGAGGAACCATCATGGAAGGACAGGCCCCTGCACGGTATGTACCACCGGCAGATAGAGGAGGTGGCTGATATCCAGAAATCCTACCAGTGGCTGGACAAAGCTGGACTGAAAGACAGCACAGAGGCACTAATCATGGCAGCACAAGAACAAGACCCTCAAGCTCCCAGGCCTCTGGTAGAGGACCCGAGCTTGAAGCCTGAGCTTGAAGGATAAACCGCCCGCAGGGGTGTGCTGGGTGTTGTTTATATGTTTATATATATATATATATATTGTTCTGTATCACTAAAATATTATTCCCAGTAAGTTGTTAGTTATGTGTTTTTAGCGCCTTCTGTGGTCGCTTCAAGTAATGCACCGTAGAAATGGTTTGTTTTGAAACAACTTTATTGAACAGGAAGTCGGCTCAAGGAAAGCAAGCGAGCAAAAGGAAGAGAGACACATCGGCACACGGCTTATGGTGTCCTGTCGGAAACTTACTGTCTACGTCTTTGGTTTATGGTTGTATCGCCGGTATGTATTTAAAGTTAAATTACAACTTGTTTTGTATATTATGTTGCCCGCTAGCGCAGTATTTGACCGTAAAGCTAGTCTCGGTGCTAAGCTAGCTATCCGCGATGTCGGAGGTCGTCTGAGATAGCTTCAGTAGTTGTTTAAAAGTTTATATAATTAGACGTATGCTGTGTGGTAGTATTGCGGTGTATAAATGTATGTTATGCTACGCTTATGTATGTCATGACTGTATTTTTTGTCTTGTTTTTAGTTTTACCCTTTTGAATGTCAGTAAACCTGTTGACAACGCCCATCGGTCTTCAGAGTGGTGATATGAGAAAGGTGTTCACGCCCTTGCATCAGACATGCACCCGTAACGGCACAGTAAAACGGCGATACAACCACACGAACCAAGATAATGCAGTCATCGCACGCTAGAGTGAAGCTGACCACTACTACGCCTTGGAGCAACATGGCATACAGCAGTGAGCCAGCAGTCGTCTAATCAACTCCAACATGTCCAGCAAGGCGTCATCCCTCAAGATCCGGTCCGAAGCTTCGTGTGCCTCCTCTACAGGTTCTGCAGCAGCCAAAGCCAGAGCAAAAGCTGAGGCAGCCAAGGCACGTCTCAGCTTCGCAGCCAAAGAAATGGATTTGAAGGTAGAAAAAGCACAAATAGAAGTAGCAAAAGCTAAAGTCGAGGCATCCATCGAATATTTACAGCATGAAAAAGATGTAGCCTCAGCCATTGCGGAAGCAGAGTCATTAGAAGCAGCTGCTGCCACACAGACAGAAACGCGCAGCAACATCTGTCCCTCAGTAACAGCAGAACGAACTAAACAGTATGTCATTGGCCAATCTACATTTGTGAGAAAAGAAAATGATGCTGCTCTTCAACAATCACAAAATGAAAATGTAACACAAAGTAAACCAGAGCTCATCTGTGATCAGCCACCAAGCCCTAAAAAAGAAAATGACCCACAAAAAATTCCAATTGGTCTAACAGATGATCCTGACTGTTGCCAAAAAACTCCAGTCATTTCCCCTTCTCCCCATGCTAATAAAAAGTACAGTACCAATTGGTCAAATCAGGTGTCAGCATCTAGCTTCCATGATGCTAGGCCTTTATACAAAGAGCCCAGAGAATCAAATGTGAGTGACTTCATCAGATACTTTGCTCGTCGTGAAATAGTGGCAACAGGGCTGCTCCAGTTTAATGACAAGCCCCAAAACTTCAGAGCTTGGAAACGCTCATTTGAAAATGCTATAAGCGGGTTATATCTAACGGCAAGTGAAGAAATGGACTTGATGTTAAAATGGCTTGGCAAGGAATCGGCTGAACATGCAGAACAACTCAGAGCCATACACATCAACAACCCAGTCAATGGCCTCAACATGATATGGGACAGACTTGAACAATGTTATGGCTCAGCTGAAGTGATCGAGGATGCACTATTTAAAAGAATTGATGCATTCCCAAAAATCTCATCCAAAGACTTTGCAAAACTGAGAAAATTTAGTGACCTGCTCATGGAAGTGCAGTGTGCTAAAGCTGAAGGAGACCTCCCTGGTCTCACGTTCCTAGATACAGCAAGAGGAGTAAATCCAATCGTCCAAAAACTTCCCTTCTACCTGCAAGACAGGTGGATTACGGTAGGAGCCATCTACAAACGCACAAAATGTGTCTCCTTCCCACCATTTAGTGTTTTAGTAGACTTTGTTGCACAAGAAGCTGATGCTAGAAACGACCCCAGCTTTAACCTCACACCATCACCTGATGCACCCAGACCAGACAAACTATCTTGGAGGGCAAACAGACAAAAAGAGATTTCTGTGCACAAAACTGATGTCATCTCTCGCACTAGTTCAGACACACAGAGGTCCCCAAACAAAACTGTACATGGTGAAAAGCTTTGTCCAATTCACAAGAAAGCTCATCCTCTCGCAGTGTGCAGAGCATTTCGCATGAAAACACTGTTAGATAGGAAAACGTTCTTAAAAGAAAATGACCTTTGCTTCAGGTGCTGTGCCTCATCTTCACACATAGCAAAGAACTGTAAAGCCAAGGTACAGTGTTCCGAGTGCAACGATGAGAAGCACTGCACAGCTCTCCACCCAGGACCAGCTCCCTGGCTAAAAGAAACCGAACCAGCAGCAGAGCATGGCGGGGAGCCTGACACCATTGAATCAGAGGAGATCACTTCTAAATGCACTCAGGTTTGTGGTGTGAATGAAGCAGGCACTTCATGTTCTAAAATCTGTCTCGTTAATGTCTACCCAGTAGGCCACCCACATCAAGCAGTAAGGCTTCATGCTATCCATGATGAACAAAGTAACAGATCACTAGTACGTCCGGAGTTCTTCGAGTTGTTTAATGACTGCGGCCCTAGTTCCCCTTACTCGCTTAAGACGTGTGCTGGTACCAAAGAGACAATGGGTAGAAGAGCTACAGGTTATGTAGCGGCAGCTTTAGATGGTTCAGTTCACATCCCACTGCCTAGCCTAATTGAGTGCAAAAATATCCCAAATGACAAAGACGAGATTCCCACACCCAGTGCAGCTAGACACCACAGCCATCTAAAGTCAGTGGCTCACCTCATTCCTGCCTTGGACTCTAACGCCCCCATACTAATGCTACTTGGACGGGATGTCATTAGAGCTCACAAAGTTCGCAAACAGATAAGTGGTCCTAACAACGCACCCTATGCTCAAAAATTGGACCTAGGATGGGTCATAGTAGGAAACGTGTGTTTAGGTGACGTCCACAAAACTCCTGCAGTGAGGACTCTGTTCACAAATGCAACTGAAAGGGGACGTCCCACAGCATTCGAACCATGTCCTAATGTTTTCAACATAAAAGAGAAACATTGTAGGATACAAGTTCCACTCAACTTCAGCCCCCAGCTGGCAGACAGTGCTTGTGAACCTGATCATTTAGGATGTAATGTGTTCAAACAAACCAGAAATGACAACTACATCTCACCTTCCATCCAGGACAATGCCTTCTTAAAAATAATGGAGGAAGGACTAACAAAAGACACAGATAACAGTTGGACAGCTCCTTTACCATTTAAAAATCCACGCCGAAAGCTCCCTAACAACAGACCACAGGCCCTGAATCGCCTAATGTCTCTTCTTCGCACCTTTGAAAAGAAGAAAGAGATGAAGGAACATTTCATCACTTTCATGGACAAAATATTCCAAAACAAACATGCAGAGATTGCCCCTACACTAAAAGAGGATGAGGAATGTTGGTATCTGCCACTATTCGGTGTCTACCATCCCCGTAAACCCATGCAGATCAGGGTCGTCTTCGACAGCAGCGCCAAGTATGAAGGCGTATCCCTGAATGACGTTCTGTTAACAGGACCAGATTTTAATAACTCATTGCTTGGGGTCCTAATACGCTTCAGAAAAGAAGCCGTCGCCTTCACAGCAGACATCGAACAGATGTTTTACTGTTTCAACGTGCGAGAGCAAGACAGGAACTACTTACGCTTCTTGTGGTTCCGTGACAACGACATTTCCAAAGAAGTTGTGGAGTACAGAATGACGGTCCACGTCTTTGGGAACAGCCCATCGCCAGCAGTAGCCATATATGGCCTGCACCAGTCTGTTCAACGCGTTGAACCAGACTGCGATGCAGATGTGAAGCAGTTTGTCATGCGCGACTTCTACGTCGATGACGGACTCAAATCTCTACCTACTGTTGAGAAGGCCATATCTCTACTCCAAAGAACCCAAGATGCACTTGCAAACTCAAATTTAAGACTGCATAAAATAGCATCAAACAGAAAGGAAGTACTAGAGGCATTCTCGACTCAAGATCATGCCAAAAATCTAAAAAACCTAGACTTCGAAAGTAATTCAGTGCCCATGCAGCGTAGCCTAGGTCTCCTCTGGGACCTAAGTAAAGACCGCTTCACCTTTGAAGTATCTGATGAGTCAAAACCCTTTACCAGACGAGGTGTTCTATCAACAATAAACAGCCTCTATGATCCGCTGGGCTTTGTAGCACCAGTCACCATACAGGGGAAGTCAATTCTACGTGAACTTAAAGCTGAAAATGGGGACTGGGATGCTCCACTCCCTCCCGAAATGGAAGAGTCTTGGACACAGTGGAAAGACTCACTCAAAGACCTGCCTAACATGACTATTCCCAGAGCATACACAGACATTTCCCCTTCAACAGCCGCGAAAAAAGAATTGTGTGTTTTTTCAGACGCATCTACCAAAGCCATAGCTGCAGTGGCCTATTTAAAAGTGACAGATGCAGAAGGACACAGTCAAGTAGGCTTTGTAATGGGCAAGGCTAAGCTAGCACCACGCCCAGATCAGACTATTCCAAGATTGGAGCTTAGTGCTGCCGTTTTAGCGGTTGAGCTCGCAGATCTTATCTCAGACGAACTTGACTGTAAACTAGATCACACTACTTTCTACACAGACAGTAAAGTAGTCCTGGGTTACATCTACAACGAGTCTAGAAGATTTTATGTCTATGTCAGTAATCGTGTGACTAGAATCCGCAGATCTTCTCAGCCATGCCAGTGGCACTATGTAGCTAGCAGTCAGAACCCTGCAGATCACGCCACTCGTTCTGTTCCTGCATTCCAGCTGCCGCTTAGTAACTGGCTCACTGGCCCTGACCTTTTGCATCAGATTCGGAGTTCTCTAAATGACTCCTATGACCTTGTAGAGCCCAGCATGGACTCAGATGTAAGACCTCAGGTAACTGCACTCAAAACAACAGCCTCAACTAAAGAACTGGGCTCAGATAGATTCTACCTGGAAATCCCTCACACGTGCTCTTTCTAGACTAATACATGTAATCCACAACTTCAAATCACCACCAGGCAAAGCCAATCACTGTAATGGCTGGCATTACTGTGAAACGGGACTTACTGTGGATGAGTTAAACCAAGCTCAGAACCTTGTCATTCGAGCAGTACAGCAGGACGTGTATGCTGAAGAAATCAAGTGTGTGCAAAAACATGGAAAACTACCCAAAACCAGTCATCTCAAAACTTTAGACCCCTATCTGGACAAAGAAGGACTCCTTAGAGTAGGTGGTCGCATCAGAGACTCAAACATTAGCCAAGGTGAGAAAAACCCTCTCATAGTTCCTGGCCACCACCATGTTGCAGCGCTTCTCATAAAGCACTACCACGAGCAGACCCAGCATCAAGGTCGCCTTTTCACAGAAGGAGCCGTTCGCTCCGCAGGATGGTGAGCACAATCATCTATCATTGTGTTACCTGCAAAAGACTTCGTGCCCCTTTGAGCACACAGAAAATGTCAAACCTCCCTCCAGACCGTCTCACAACAGATCCCCCGTTCACGAATGTGGGCTTAGACGTGTTTGGTCCGTGGTTTGTGTCTTCACGACGTACAAGAGGAAGCGTCATCCAGAATAAAAGGTGGGCTGTCATATTCACTTGTTTGAGTATTAGAGCAGTCCACATTGAAGTGGTAGAGTCACTTGATACATCTAGCTTCATTAATGCATTCCGACGATTTCTGGCCGTGAGGGGACCAGTGAAAACTGTTCGCTCTGATCGAGGCACCAATTTTGTAAGTGCATGTAAAGAACTGAAAATCCCTTCAAACTTGGACAACACAGCTGTGCACACCTTCTTAAAAGAACATGGATGTAAATGGACTTTTAACCCACCTCATGCCTCCCATTTCGGCGGAGCATGGGAGAGAATGATAGGTTTAGCATGGAGAATATTGGACTCTATGTTTTTTCAGCTTAAGACCACTAAACTCACTCATGAGGTTCTCGTCACCTTCATGGCAGAGGTGGCTGCTATCATAAACTCTAGACCCCTTGTCCCGGTTTCATCAGACCCAAGTGACCCCTTCATCTTGACTCCAGCTGTTCAATGTGCATTGATGTTACAGATCGTGAAAAGTAGTGAAGTGAATTTGTTCATAACAAGCAAAAATCAAATATGTTTGAAACTGGCCACTAAATGCTAACCAGAGGTGTCAAAAGTGCACATTCTTACTAAAGTTTAGATGCCTCGGGGGTCTGACCGTTGTTGTAGCACTAATAAAGTGCCAACGTAATCAGTGTAAGCAAACTAGATGAGTCCTACAATTATATAATTATTAACAGCAAATTTAGACATGAAAGACTCTGTACCAACCTTTACGATCCACTTGCAAGGTTTCCACAGTCGATGATCCATGCAGGAACGTATTTCCACCTACCATCAGGGCTGGACTGGGACAAAAAATCGGCCCGGGCATTTTGACTAGAGATCGGCCCACCAGGATAAAGATTGAAAATGTGACGTCATTCAGGGGTAAAACCGCAAAGGATTCTGGGAACTTGTGGCAAGCGGTACTAGCGCACGCAGGCGTTCAATTGAACTCAGTTACACAGCGATAAAAAGAAACCCAAAAAATGGCAAGAAGCTGTTGTATTATTAACTGCAATAGCCGGTCGCATGACAGCCACGGGAAGCCGACGGGTAAAGAGATCTTTTTTTTTTATCGGATTACGTCGTTGAAGATAAATTTTTTAAGCCATGTTTCCGAAGTAAGAGCCGACGGATGGTCTGGATATACCAAATATAACGTCTCAGAACACTCCAGCTCACATGTTAGTCTGCTCCAAGCATTCCCACAAAGGTCAGAGTTTTGTAGTAGTTAATACGTCATTTTTCTTAACATAATTGGTGATATAGGTTACAAGCAAGTCTGGCGCTGAACAGAAATTGTTGCGCTATGCTCCTTTATTTATTGTGCATAAATAGTGAATTGTCCTGACACAATATTACGTTTCGCTTCTGTTATTACCATGGTACATTGACAAAAACATATACTTTTATTCACAGGAGAAAACAGTTGGTTTGTATCACTAATTGCCCAGTGCCATTACAACATACAATATTATTGTCATTGCTACATTTCTGTAATGCTACCAGAAATTATTTCCACTACTAATTAATTACCGTTGAGCTCAAAGGTTTTATTAATAAACGGTTAACGAATGTGTATTTATGACTACGATTTGTGAGACTGGTAAACTTACCTTTGTTTGTACGATGGTCTATCGTTCTACACGGTGCATTTCAAGGTCCTGTACCCATCCGTCAGTAAACTGTACCTGGGCTTGTTGCAGTGACCTGAAGTTACTAAACTTCATGAGAGTATGCACTCACTCCAAGAACCGTATAATTATAAATCTGAGCGTGGTGAAAGTTGAGCAGCACGCTGACGTCTTTTGTCCACTCTGTGTGCTCGTAAGGGTCTGACCCTTTCACTCCTTTGATTTTTTCCTCGTATCTTTTCTTTGTCTGTCTGAGTCTGTCTTTGTACGGACCGGCATTGTTCTCCTTTTGTTTTGTACATTCCTTTTTTGTGTGGCAAAGAAAAAACAAGAAGGTATTGGAACCGGAGAATGAACGTTTTGCGGTGCTGCAAATGCTTGCATTTGATGCAGTACTTGGATTGTTTTGCCACGAGTTCCCGGCATGCAATGCGCGAAAATCACGTGATTGCTAAACAAGGGGGAGGGTCCATCCGGCCTCCTCGGCTGTAATTGGTCCAGCCCAGAGTCGATCATGACCAATTGGCCAATCCAACACCTTTCATTATATATACCCTTCCTAAAAAAAGAAAAAAATCCATCGGCCCATAAAAACAAAAAATCGCTAGCGGCCCACCGGGCAAATGCCCGGTATGCCCGATGGCCAGTCCAGCTATGCCTACCATGGAGGTCACGTGTTTCCGGTTACTGTGGAGCTCCCCGGTGGCTGCAGCCAGACCCTTCTAGGTTAGTGTGGAGGTCGCAATATTAGCACCATTAGCAGGGCACTGTGTGTTGCAAATGTTGGTAAATCAGTTTGTGCACATAACTGAAATGTTCCCCTCTCGATGTTTAGCACTTTGACAAAGGAACAAAGAGAAATTCCCACGTCTTCCACACAGTTTTCTCTGTGTGAACACAGACAGTGGTTCTTGTACCCTGTTTGTAGGAGCTGGGATTGGACTCCACCACAGCAGCCTCTGTGTGGGATAGATGCAGTGCTCTGTAGTATAAAGCACTCTGTCAGTGAGCTGGACTCTCCAAACCAGCAGTCATCGTCTAACATCTGACTTCTTCAGCTGTAACCGTGTGTTTCTCTTGTAAACTTGGCTCTGATCATATGTGCTGTAATATTCCAGCTTTGCTTCCCGATCGTGCTGCACAGTCTGCACATGCTGGCCGGCTCCCCCAAGCTGAGAGCAGTGGGACTGCGCCTCATGACCGCTCTGTGGAGGTTTGCAATAATAACGCATTACTATAAATGTCATATTCATGTGTTCAAAGCTTCTGTTTGTCTTTGATTGTGTGCTGCTTTGGTCATGTCTGTAAGGACCGGGTCTACCCAGAGCTGCAGCGTCTAATGAGCCAGCAGGACAGCAGGGTGGTGCTGGGGAGGGACGCCCAGTGGGAGCAGATCCTGGCCAGGGCCGCCTGTGTCAGGGACATCTGCAGAGAGAGGTGGGTCCTCCCATACTTACAGAAACAGTGGGCACTTCCTACATTCACTGGTTCATTCATTCAGTGGACTTTGCATGCACAGTGCAGACAGTGTGAGCTTCCAACACCAGGATTCTTCATCTTCCCTTCTAATGAGTAATAATCACTGACTGGACTCTTCATAGATGTTTCTGCTCAACAAGCTGATGAAAGTTCAGAAAAATAGAAATATGTGTGTTTTCAGTCACATCACATCAACTTTGCTTGTTAAGATAAATGAATGCACTTTGTAGCTTTGCAGTGAATGAAGCCTCAGCTCGACGCTCCACTGAGTCCCTATTTCTCCAAAAATCAGCAGGAGTCCAGTTTTAAATATTTCCGTACAAATGTCCAGAGCAGCTACACGTGCCTGAATCCAGAAGGATCAAAGTCTTACAAAGTTCAGTTCAAACAGAGACTGAGAGGCAGCTAACTTCCGGTCTCTGCCAGACTATCAAAATAAAAGCATACATTTGAAGCAAAAGAAATCAAACTATGTCAGTCTGTAAGCACTGCTTCCCATATAATACAACTCTAAGCAAGTGAGCCATAACTTTATAGTTTTAACCTTTAACCCAAAAACTATGTTGATCATATAAACTCCACAAACTGCATCCAGGCTCCTGCACACGTCCTTTACATGTTAGCTGCTAGCTAATGCTTGTCAGTTTTTGTGAACTGGCCTTTATGTGTGTTGATGAAATAAAACGATGATTTTATTTGATTATTTCCTTTGTTCTAACCAGCTGGTGCACACTGTCCATCCTCCCGGGGCCTGTTACACCTGCTAACATGTACATGCAGCTTTTTTAGCAGCATTAGTGAAAACCTGGGAAACCCTCTGGATGGATGCTACAGTACAAATTTAACAAATCATTGAGCTGTTTTGTTGTTTTCACAAATGCTTACGTTTGCTTTTATTGTAAAACATTTGCAGCCATAAGAGTTTGCAATGATAAGAAGCTGTGTTTGGCATTTACTTACTTACACGTGTCCTGGCACTTTTAATGCTTTTTTTAAAAATAAAAATGGTAACAAAATTAGAAGAAACACATTTCCCACTTTGTTCACGCTGATGTGTGTGTTAACCAGGCCTTACCAGCATGCAGGGGACATGGTGGCTGCCATTTCACTCACTTTAAAACAGTGCAACAGACCAGACCTGGTAACCCCGGCTGCTCTCGTCCTGCAGGGACTACAGGAGCTGTGTCGAGCAGAGGTACCTCGTCTGTCTCCATTTGTCTCTTTAAATTCAGGAATCATCATTTTTCTGGATCATAACTTTTGAATCTTTTCCAAAGTTCTGGTCTTAAAACAAATCTTTCTTTCTCAGGTGGTGGATATTATCTCAGCATGGAGAACTGTTTGGCCTGAGCTCAGCTGTCACTCACAGCCAGAGGTGGTTCAAGCCATCGCTGAGCTTTTGGCTCTGGTGCCTCAGCTCACAGTTAAATCAGAGCAGTACGAGGTGCGTCGTAACGTTTTTCTTTTATTTATTTCTGCAGTGGTTGTTGTGTATTACTCTTTAGATTGTCTTTTTCCATTATTGTAATTGTGTATAAAGTTTGATTTGAATGAAAGTTACACTCAAATGCTTTCAGTGTTGCTGTGTTGAGTGTTTTCATGTTTAATGTTTGTATGGAAGACACAGAAAGACATTCAGCTAAAGAAATCTGTGCTAGAGTGACTTTAAAACAATAAATAAACAGAATGTAAATAATGATGTTTAGTATTTGAGAAGGAAGCTGTTTCTACAGGATCCTGATGGACACTCAAAGGTTTATAAAATGTTCTCATTAGTTGTTTACAGCAGAATATCAACCGATGTGAACCAAAACAACAAAAGTGTGTGAGACTACAAATTCTAGAATCAGAACTGCTGATTTCATTACTCTGAACTTTTAAAGGCAGGTTTTGTATCTGAGAGCAGGGACACTTGCTGTGTTCAGTGTGACTCGTCTCTGCAGAAGGTCAGGGCTCTGATAGTTGCAGTTAGCGGGTGACTTACTGGGCAGGTGGATCCTGAGTGTCTGTGGGAGTCAGGGTTCATTATGGTCCTGGTTGCTACTGGAAATAAAGAAACAAAAGGAGGGTGTGTTGTTCAGGAAGTACAGACTGTAGCTCAGCAGGTAGAATTACTGACTGGAAGGTTGGAGGTTTGATCCCTGGCTGCTCCAGTCTGCATGCCACGGTATCCTTGGGCAAGATATGGAACCCCGACTTGCTCTCCGATGCATCCATCATAGTGTCATTGTTAGAAAAAGAAGTGCTTGTGTGAATGAAGCACGCTATATAAAATGCTTTGACTGCTCATACAGAAAATCAGCTCATAAGAACTGGTTCATTTTCCAGATAATTCCACTATTAAGACAACAGACATTTGGGAGGCTTTCTCTGAGAGTAACACTGAAAGTCTTGCTGCTCCTCCACAAAATGAACTTCAGATTAAAGACACAGCTCAGATAAACACAACTCAAACTAATCTACACTATTTTTCTTTATTACGCAGCGTTTTTATAACTATTTCCAGATGTTTCTAAAGATGGAAACAGAATTAAACTCCAGCCTGATGCGTTTCTGAGGTTCCTGACTCTGACCGTCCCTCAAACGCCTCTCTGATCGTTTCCTTCCGTCGCTTTTACTTTCGCTTTCGTGAATGTTGTGGCACAGTTGATCGTCTCGAAGTTAAGGTAACGTTAGCAGTCTGTACTGTTTTCCTGGCTGACATCAGCTGTGTGCAGCTTAGTTTCAGCATAAATCTGCTTCGTTTTATGTGAGATCAGAGTCTGGAAACGAGACAGAAACAGTTGATGATCAGCAGCTGAACTCGATGTTACTGTGGATCCACTGACTGATGTCTGTAGGCAGCTTCTCCTGCCTCCGTCAGTCTGTTGTGGAAGCCCGTTTCCGCCACAAAAAAGGATCCATTCTCGTAATTTCGACTTATAACTCGAAGATTTTGAGAAAAGTAGCTCGAATTTCGAGTTAGTTCTGCCAATCAGTAATCTAGCTACAATGCGCACTCAAACCCGCATCGCAACAAATCGGCTTTCGAGAGTACGTTTGCTGATATTAACGCCATGTGATTCAGCTAATAACAGAAGGATTTCATCATTTCTGAAGCCACACAGACAATAATCAGCAATTTGTGCATTTATGACTGGCTGTAATTCTGGTATCTTAGCTGTAGCATTTGTAGCTGAGGGCTTCAGCTTCCGGGTAACAAGGAAATTACGTCATTCACGTAAATTACTGATTGGCAGCACTAACTCCAAGTTAATAAGTCGAAATTAGGAGAAAATAACTCGAAATTTCGAGTTATGGATCCTTTTTTTTAGTGGCGGAAACGGGCTTCCAGTCTTTGGATGTTCTTTAACTGCTGACAGTGAGACAGGGGTGTCCTAAGAGTTTCTTTTCGGAAGTCGCTGCCAACATTTCATCTATAAAATGCATTTCTCTGCTCGTTCGCTATATTCTGCTGTCGTATTTGTATGCAGGTTATTTACCTTTTTCAGTTTAACTGGTTATATTCATTCGTGTATTGTAGGTGAATGCGCTGATGCTTGATCATAAATTCCGCAGAGTTAACTTCTTCAGTCTCAGCTGGCTGCAGGTTTCCAATCTTATAAACAGGACATTTGCATAATGACTGAAACCAGCCCAGTGAAGGAACAATGGGCTGGGAGGTCAGTTCCTTCATGATTAATATGCAAATTCTCATGACCATTGATCAAAGCTCATTGATCAATGACCATGAGTACCATTCACAGAGAGTTGGGGAATGGCTGCAATCACAGCATTGTAAGATGTCAGGAAAAAACCCCAGAGAAAAACATGCTACAGGGTTGAATTTTGCTGTGATGCCGAGACAAATCCTGCTAGTGGAGCTGATCACAGCCACAGAAACAGAAATTTCAAACAACAATGTTGTAGATGTGGAAGCAGAGCAACCAGGGATGAAAGTTTAGGCCTGTCTCAGCAATGCAAATCCCCAAGATCCAACATCAGGATGGAGGAGAGGAAGGCACTCACCCCACTTAGTAATGACAACAACATAATTATCGTTCTGGCAGACAAGGTTAGGTGCACAGTAGAGCTGGGCGATAGAACGATAACGATATGTATCGCGATATAACTTTTACTCGATAGAGAAATTAAACTATCGCGATAGACCTCGCCGCTCTTGTCCTCTTAAAAAAAAAAAAAAAAAAAAAGGTCAGTCAATCCAAATTAAGTAGCGCAGAGCCGAACCAATCACAGAAAACGGAAACGTTTTGAAAACGGAAAATCTCCGTTTTCAAAAATACCCGTGTACGTGTGGACGTAGCCTCAGTCTCTGACTGGAAGCGCTAATTCGTCATTCGGCTTTTGTCAGACTAAAGTAACTGTTAAAACTGTTTGAAAAGCTAAGATATACAACAAGGAGAGATTGAGAATTTCCTTTTAGTTCTCAGTTTATTTGATATTGACAAAAGTTAGTCAGTTTTGTCTGTTCTTCTGTAAAACAAACTAAGATTTATTTTTAGAATTAATATTTTGTTTCTAAGTGGAATTGACAATTTAGTAGTCTGTTTCGTTTGTTCTATTTTGAAACTTAAACGCTTTAGCGGCTGCCTTTTGAGTAGTTTGCAATATTTGCCTTTATTTATCTGAAAAAGTCTCATGTTCCTTAAGTACATCTACCTTGTTGAACTTCATCCATCCATTCGCGTCCGCTTAATGGATGAACTTATTATGGGAAATAAATATTTAAATAA